ATGATAGGTCAAAGGTAGCAGAATATACTGGAGATAGTACCAATAGATCCCGGGTGGGTCATCTATCAAGAACAATGAAAGACCATGGTAGAAGGAACACTGGATTGGGAGTCAGAAGGCCTGGATCCAAATCCCATCTTTGTGTCTTACTACGTTACTGAACTTGGCAAGTCACATAAACTTTCTGTGATGCACTTTCCAAGGACAGCTAAGCGACACAATGGATAGAGTGCTGGGCCTGGAGACAGGAAGACATCTTTCTGAGTTCAAATGCAGCCTCAGAGGCTTACTAGCTGTGTAACTCTGGGCAAGTCACTTCACCCCATTTGCCTCAGTTTCCTCATCTGCAACAAGAGCTAGAGAAGAAAATGGCAAACCTCTCCAGTATCTCTGCCAAGAAAACCCAAAATGGGGTCATGAAGAGTCATATATGACTGAAACAGCTGAACAACAGTAATAATACATACTTACCATGTCTATAAAATGATGGTAGTGGTAAGAGGTGAGAACCTCTAAAGTTTCTTCCGGTTCTCCATCTATAATCCCATGCAGAATAGATTTCATAGGACCATAAACAGTTCATTAGTAGGTCAAAAATTCATAAGATGAACCAGCGATGTGATTTGTTCTGCTAGAGATTAAAATAGCAAAAAAAAAAAAAAAGGAACCATCCGGCCTAGCCATACCAGATCTTAAATTGTATTATAAAGCAGCAATCATCAAAACTACTTGGCATTGGCTAAGAAATAGAGTGGCGGATCAGTGGAATAGGTAAGGTACATAAGACACAATAGCTAACAACTATAGTAATCTACTGTTTGATAAACCCAAAGATTCTAGCTTCTGGGATAAGAACTTACTTTTTAACAAAAACTGATGGGAAAACTAGAAAACAATAAGGCAGAAACTAGGCAAAGATCAATATCTTACTCCATATACCAAGATAAAGTCAAAATGGGTACATGATTTAGATATAAAGGCTAATACTATAAGCAAACTAGGAAAGCAAGGAATTATTTACCTGTCAGATTTATTGAGAACAGAAGACTTTCTGACCAAACAAGAGAACACTATGAAATACAAAATGGATGATTTTGATTACATTAAATTGAAAAGTTTTTGCACAAATAAAGTCAATGCAACCAAGATTAGAAGGGAATAAGAAAGCTGGGGAACAATTTTTAGAGCCAGTGTCTCTGATAAAGGCCTAATTTCTCAAATATATAGAGAACTGAATCAAATTTATTAGAATACAAGTCATTCCCCAATTGATAAATGGTCAAAGGATATGAACAGGCAGTTTTCAGAGGAAGAAATTAAAGCTATCTATAGTCATATGAAAAAATTTTCTAAATCACTATTAATTAGAGAAATGCAAATCAAAACAACTCTCTGGTACCATATTATACTTATCAGATTAGCTAACGTGACAAAACAGGAAAATGATAAATGTTGGAGAAGATGTGGGAAAATTGGAACACTAATTGCATTGTTGGTAGAGTTCTGAACTGATTCAACCATTCTGGAGAACAATTTGGAACTATGCCCAAAGGGCTATAAAACTGTGCATACCTTTTGACCCAGCAATACCACTTCTAGGTCTGTATCCCAAAGAGATCACAGGAATGGGAAAGGGACTCACATGTACAAAAGTATCTATAGCCACTCTTTTTGTGGTGGCAAAGAATTGGAAGTTGAACGGATGCCCATCAATTGTGGAATGGCTGAATAAGTTGTGGTATGTGAATGTAATGGAATACTATTGTGCTATAAGAAATGATGAGCAGGCAGATTTCAGAAAAACCTGGAAAGACATGCATGAACTGATGCTGAGTGAAGTGAACAGAACCAGGAGAACATTGTACACAGTAACAACCACATTGTGCAATGACTAACCATGATAGACTTAGCTCTTCTCAGCAATGCAAGGATCTAAGACCACTCCAAAAGACTCATGATGGAAAATGCTATCCACATCCAGAGAAAGAACTATGGAGTTTGAATGTAGATGGAAGCATACTATTTGCTCTATTTTTTGTTGTTTTGTTTTGTTTCTTCTTTCTCGTGGTTCCTCCCATTGGTTCTAATTCTTCTTTACAACATGACTAATGTGAAAATATGTTTAATATGAATGTATATCAACCTATATCAAATTGCAAGCTATCTTGGGGAGGGGGAGGGGAAGGATGGGGAGAAAATTTAAAACTCAAAATCTTATGGAAGTGAATGTTGAAAACTAAAAATAAATAAATAAATTTCCTTTAAAAAAAAAAGAAAGAAAAAATAAATGGTTGAGAGGAAGTATCACAATGGATTACACTTACTCATTTGGTACTTTACTCTGACCAATAGTATAAGTGAATAAAATACTACAGAATTAAAAAAAAAAAAGGAACCATACATGAATCTCTTTTATTTTAAGTGGGTTGATTGAAAATACATATGAATAAATGAGTGAATGATGATGATGATGACAGTAATAGTAAGCATTTATATAATACTTAAAGGTTTGCAAAGTGCTTTATTTGTAATCTTCTGTGATCCTCACAACTATGGGAAGTAGATGCTATTATTATCTACATTTCACAAATGAGAGAACTAAGGCAAACAGAGTTTAAGTGACTTTCCAAGGGTTATACAACTAAGAAGTGTCTGAGGCAGGTTTTAAACTCAGCACTTTCTGACTCTCTAAGACCAGCACTCTGTGTACTCTTCCACCTAGATTCTGGATAATGAACAAAGGAAAGAGATAATAAAGGCCTGAACCAAAGGATTGGCAGTGATAATAGGAAGGAGGAGACAGATGGGAAAGGCATTAAAAGCACAGAATTGACAAGACTTAAGTTACTGGTTAGATGTGGGATGAGGGAAAGTCAAGAGTCAAAGATAACTACAATTTTTAGTTTAGGGAAATGACTGTGTCATTAACAGAAAAAGGCAAGTCAGTAAAAGCAGGTTTTGAGAGGAGGGGAAGATGAGTTCAGTTCTGGGCATATTGAATTTAAGGTGCTCATGAGACCTTGGAGTGGAGGTATCTTCAGAAATTTCAGTCAAATTCAGAAGAAGAGGTGAGGATTTGGTAATTATCAGCATAAAGGTAATATTTAAAGCCATAAGAGTGAATAAAGATGACAATAAAGTGTCAAGAGAAAAGAGGCCCAAGGATAGAATTATAAAAAACATCCATTGGAGGGGTGGGGAGGCATTGTGGACCTAACAAAGGAAATAGGGGAAAATGAAATACATAAAAGGAAAACCAGGCAAATAAATTATCAAAGAACCAAGAAGGCCAGAAAAGTTGAAGAAAGAGGAAGGTGGTCAACAGTATCAGATGCTGCAGAGAACACAAGATGGATAAGAACTAAGAAAATGTCCTTGAATTTTGTGATAAGGATACCTTCGGTGACCTTGGAGGAAATAATTTGAATAGAATCATAGGGATGGGAGCCCAACTGCAAAGGGATAAGGTACAAAAAGGTGGAGAAGTGGAAGCCATAAGTAGATTTTTCTTCCTTGAAGTCTGGCATTGAATTGTGGAATGAGAAGTAAGATTCTAGCTTGAAGAGATAGCATGGCTGGGAGCAGAGTTGTTTGTTTTTAGAAACAGCAAGACCTGAACATGTTTATAGACAGGAAAAAGAATCGAGGGAAAGGTAGAGATTGAAGATGCAAGAAAAAGAGTGAATGACTGATGGAAAAGGGTTCAGGAGAAGTTTACCTGAAAGAGTTCATATTACAAAGAAGGCTGGATGTTCTTGCAGTAAGATGAATTCCAACAGAGTTAGAAAGGACCTTAGCAAGCAAGTAACAAATCAACAAGTATTTATTAAGTATATACCATGCACTAGGCACTGTACTAACTAAGCACAGAGGATACAATGACAGAAATGAAACAATTCCAGCCCTCAGGGTGCTTACATTCTATTACCTACTCCAACTTCCTCATTTTTTGCCGGTGAGAAAACTGGACCAGAATGGGGAGAGATGATTTACCTAAGTTCAGACAGGCAGAAGATAGCAGAGCTAAGAGTCAACCTCAAGTTCTCTGACTCCCAATGAAGCACTCTTTCTGCCACACTGGGGGAAGGATAAGTTGCAGTCAAAATCTGAAGTGTAGAAGAGGAACTTCAGGGAGTTCATCAAATGGACCTAGTCTTCTTGGAAACTAGGAAGCCAGGTTATCCCTTGAAAATCATCCAACATTTGGAGGTTTGGAGAAAGTAGAAAACATTTGATACAGTCACTGTAGAGAATGAGATAAGAAGTCACCTGGAGATGAATAAAAGGATTGTTGAAGTGGTGAAGGTCATGCTGATCTTCTATCTCATATTGGATTTGAAGCAGCCCCAGCCAGCACAGTTTTGTGACTTTCTCCAACAGTTTTTCATAGACTGGAAAGAGGAAGAGAGAAATGCCTAAGGATGGAAATTAGCCAGGAGGTGATGAGCTTTGTCAAGTTAAAAACAATTCCCCAGCACACTGGATAGAGCACCAGCCCTGAAGTCAGGAGGACCTGAGTTCAAATCTGGCCTTAGACCAAACACTTGACACTTACTAGCTGTGTGACCCTGGGCAAGTCACTTAACCCCAATTGCCCAAAAAAAAAAAAAAACTCTCCAAATGTTTTTCCTTCTTTGTGTCTGATTAAAGTCTTCATATGCCTTTTGTCCTCAAGGGACTAAGGCCCTTAGTCTATTGTGAAGGACCTTCATGGGATCAGGCTAAACAGAATTATACTTGGAGTGGAAAAAAACACTGGTCTTAAAGTCAGAAGACCTGGTCGAGCTCCTATTTCTGATTTTTAATAGCTGTGTGACCATCTCCAAAGTCACTTCTCTGAGCTCAGTTTCCTCATCATGAGGGAATTATCATGAGGGAAACAGTCTGAAAATCTTACAGTGCAAAAGAATAATATTAGTGTTATTCTAGCTCTTAAGCTGAATATAGCTGCTTTGAGCACATCCTAAGAGAAATATTTTCTGATTTCTTATTTTTTTCAGCTTTCATTCGCAGCCACCACACCAGTCCTAGCTGATAAGAAAAAATATCCTTATTTCTTCCGAACTGTACCATCAGATAATGCTGTAAATCCTGCAATTTTGAAGTTGCTAAAATATTACCAGTGGAAACGGGTGGGAACCTTAACCCAGGACATTCAAAGATTTTCTGAGGTAAGATTCATTTAGTGAGCCCGATGGATTCTTGTCTCAAAAAAAATTTATTGATAATTCTGAACAATTCTATACCCTATTGGATTGCTTAGAGGTCAATAGTATGGCTTAATTTAGGTGAACTTCTAATACGAGGTATGCATGTATATGTTTTCTTAGAATATCTTCTAGATTAAGTTAAACTATTGGATTATTTTGTCTATAAAAAGAAAAGTTGAGGAATTAACTGGTGAATGTATCAGTGAAAACTGTACAATTATGATAATTCAAGATGAAAAAAATCTTCTTGTCTTCAATTGTACTTTTTGTGACTCTAAATTACTTAGATAATTATTATAACACTCCAATTCACTTTACCTTTGCTAACCACACCATTGCAATTATTTAGAATCACTAGCTTCCTCTTTGTAGAAGTGGGGACCATGGGTGTGGAATATTGTATGTAATGTCAAATTTTTTCAATACGCTGGTTAGTTTTGATGACTTTTATCTTCCTGTTTTTTATTCTTTATCATAAGGCATGGCTCTCTGGGAGGGGGTTGGGGTTATAATACAGTGGGAAATATAGGTGATATAAAAACGAATCAGTAAAAACTCATATAAAAGACAAAAACATCACTAGCTTTCATTAGAAGGAGATGCTAAGTGAATGCTTCCTTTAACAAGAAAATATCAAGAAGACTTGGAATCAGGAGGCCACCATGTGTTTCTGTTTCTAGCACCTCATAAAGCATAAATCTCCCCTTCTCATCGTGTTTTTTCCCACATGTGGTAACAGCACTTAGGGGAGCTAAAAGAAAGACTGTCCTATCTATGTGGAATAGCCCAAGAAAAGATAAAAACTCAAGCTTAGAAAAATTTGAGAATGGCGGCTATAATTTTTTTAAAATGAAGTGGAAGAAAAGGCAAAGAAAAGTTTGTACTTCTACTATCTAAAAAGAGAATAGACTTTTATTTAACCTAAATATGTGATTCATACAGTATGGGGAACTCTTAGTACAGAAATCTTTTACCAGTGTAGAAGGGTAACTCATCAGCAACTTATAGTCTTAGAGAATCATTTGACTTTTCTATGGCCAAAGAGCTAGTACGTGTGAAAGGCAAGTCTTGAACCCAGATCTTCAAGATTGCGAGGCCAACTCTCTATCCACTATGCCTTACATTATCTCTAACAATACACTAATAGGCCATTTTATTTTTAATATATAAGAAAGGGCAGTTATGATAAGATGGGGAACGTATTGAATGGGGAGATAAGGGATCTAAAATCTAAAGTCCCAATTTTTCTACTGATTAGTTTTGTGACCATGGGGCAAGTGAGTTACCACTACACAATCTCTTGATCAAGAGCTTGAAAAGACCTTAGAAGGCAGCTAAAAAACACAGTGGGTAGAGCACAGGACTAGGAATCAGGGAGACAAATGCAAATTCAATCTCAGACACTAGCTGTGTGACCTTGGGCAAGTCATTTAACCTCTCTTGGGCTCAGTTTCGTCATCTGTAAAATGAGGTAACTAATAGCACCTAGCTCCCACTGTTGTTGTCAGAATAAAAGTATGATAATCTTTGTAAAGTGCTTTGCAAACCTTAAAGCACTATGTAGACACTAGTCATCATCATCATCATTATTATTATTATTATTATTATTATTAATTACAACCCAACCCCCTCATTTTACAGCTGAGTCCCTAAGAACTTAAGCGTTTGGTCCAAGGTCACAAAGGTTATATAAGCAACAGAGCCACAATTCAAATTCAAATTGTCTGGCTTATGTAGCACTCTTCACTACACCACCCTCTAATATCTCTTCTAGACCTAACATTCTATAATCTTAAATATATCAAAAGGATGAGAGATGCCCTGTGTGACATCCTGGTAAAGAGCAGGCCCTAGGAGTCAGAAGATATGGATTCTACTCTCAACTTTGCCACCTACCAATTGTGTGTATGACTATGAGTGAGTGATTTAACTTCTCTCAACCAATTTTCTCTTCTATAAAATGGAGATTATAACATCTGCCCTGCCTGCATTGCTAGAATATTGTATGAGAGTCAAATGAGACAATAAATGTAAAATGTTTTGGGAACTACAGAGCACTCCATCTTGGTCTGGATCAGTGCAAATAATGAATCTCTTGAAGGGGTCACATATTCAAACTGGCACAACATAGTTCCATTGGGCTGGAATTATCATATCTTATATAAGTGTAATTTCAAAGAATACAAATTCATGCAATCTCACTTCAGGGGATTCATTTATTACTTGCACTAATTGAGACCTAGCTGGAATATATTTATAAGGTAGTATTAATTGGAGTAAAGTATTTATCATCATCACTATCATTGTTATTAGCATGCCTTTTTCTTTCTTTTTGGAGGCAATGGGGGTTAAATGACTTGCCCAGGGTCATATAACTAGTAAATGTCTGAGGCCAGATTTGAACTCAGCTTCTCTTAACTCCAGGACCAGTGCTCTATCCACTGCACCACCTAGCTGTCCCATGCCTTTATGTTTCTTGACTTCCTGGAAGGCAGGAAGAGGTCAGACAACATGAACTTGCTCCCAAAGTGGGATTGACTCATCATCAGCTGATAAGGAGGCTTCTGGCAGGAAAGCCACCATTCTATGGGGGGAGGAGTGAAAGTTTGGGGTTTTTTTCTAATGCAAAACAAGAAAGAGTAGAATAATTTCCTACATTACCAAATTGTTACCCAATAATGTTGTAGGCGCTTCTTCATTTCCCCATGTCCACATAGACACAAACTAAATAGAGGCTGGGTGACTACCGGAAGATCAGAGAACTTTCTACTTTCTGTGTTGGTGCAAAGATGATCAATAATAATCATAATTTACCCATATATAGCTATTTCAGGGACATAGTCTTATTTGATTCCAGTAACCCATGAGGCAAGCATGGTCAATGCAGAAAATGAAATCTCAAAGAGGTAAAGCAATATACCCAAAGTCATGCAGTGAATGCGTGTGTGTGTGTGTGAGAGAGAGAGAGAGAGAGAGAGAGAGAGAGAACAAAGGAAGGAAGGAAGAGAGGAGAGAGGGAGGGAGGAAAGAAGGGAGGGAGGGAGGGAAGAAGGAAGGAAGGGGGGAGGGAGGGAGGAAAGAACGGAAGGGAAGGAGGAAGGAAGGAAGGGAGGGAGGGAGGGAGGAAGGGAGGGAGGAAGGGAGGGAGGAAGGGAGGAAGGAGAGAAAGAGACAGAGAACTTATTAAAAACTTAATTATTCCAGGCACTCTGCTAAGCACAAGAGCTATAAATAGAGACAATCCCTGCTCTCAAGGATCTTCCATTCTAATGAGAGAAGATAACACATGAAGGGGAGTTAGAAAGCAGAGAACTGACAGTGTCTGTAACCTGGCATAGAGACAGCCAAAAAATGGAGACTGGATCTGTACAATATAAGGCTGGACCTCACCAGTCAGAACTTAGAATAGGTCCAGGCCTTCTGACTCCTCACCCAGTACACTTCACTGACATTGCACCTACTACACAATGCAGCATGGCATTGTGGATAGGAGTCAGGAAGACCTGGATTCAAATGTTGCCTCAGATACTTACTAATGATATGACCCTGGGAAAGTCATTCTGTGCCTCAGTTTCTTCATCTGTAAAATATAGGGATTGGACTCAATGACCTCTAAGATCCTTCCTACTTTAAATTTATGCTCCTATAATACTATACCTGAATAAGTAATGAAAAACTCTGTAAATGTACATCTGTCTACCCAGCTTCCTCCGAGTGCTTGGTTAGCATTTCTTACTTAGCAGGTCTAGGGCTTTTTTTTTGGTGGGAAGCCTCTTCTCCTTGGGACAGGATGTATTCTGGTGCTATTGCTGGCAAATATTCTGCTTTTAAATCTCAGTCCAGCTGACTCCTCTTAATTCTTCCAGTTCTTGGCAGAATTCCTCCTGATGATTGGGCTTGATCATTGAAAAGCAGATGTTGGAAGCCTTCCAGAAAATAACAGCTTTTCTTGACTGGAAATGAAATTGGATTCTTTTATGAAATTGGTCAGTCAACAAAGTCAAGCTGTTCTTCTCCAGGGCACTTAAACAGGAAGAAATGGGAAGTTTGGAGGGGGGAAGGGGATGAAATGCCCTTCAACATAGGTTTGATATCTGAGGGCTGATGTTTTATTTTAGCCCCAGGTGGGGACCTCACAGCTTATTCTGTGTCTGCCAATTGACTGGCCAAGTTGGAATGGTGGTGAGTTTTCAACCTGGTCTATGCCCTGGCATTAAATGCCATTCAAAAGGCTTCCCTTAACTTTCATTCTTGAAAGCCCCTGAAATTCCTCTGGGAATATCCATAATGGAAAAGGTTAATTTCCTTAGTGGTCCATTTTTCAATCCCTGGAAAGGGCACATCCACATATTCCTACACCTGGAGTGTGGGAAAGGAAGGTCAAAGAAACCTGAGTCATTCCAGACCTGGGATCTGCACTGACTAAGTCAGAACTCATGGGAAACTCCCAAAATATTTGCATTTCTTGGGTATTGTCCATAGGGAGAATTTATATCTATCTATCTAGGTCCTTTAGGGTATCATTCAACCAACAGCCCTCCACCAAAAACGACTCACTAAGGAAGTTAACCTTTTCCTTTGTAAGCATTCTCAGAGAAGTACCAGGGGCAGCCAATGTCTGAAGCTGGATTTGAACTCAGGTCCTTCTGACTTCAGGGCTGGTGCTCTACCCACTGTACGACCTAGCTGCCCCATTACTTTTCTTTTTTTTTCCCATTACTTTTCTAGTCTTACCTCACACTACTCCTTATACTCCAAATAAAATGGACTATTCACTTTCTTTAAACATGTTCCACACTTTTCTGCTGTAATAACTGTAATTACATCAGGGTCAAGAACTATTGTGACTGCTAACCCCTACCAGCCTGAGGTTTTCTCTTCCTGGGGACTCCCATAATGATGTCACTTTTCATTTTCTCTTATCATCCCCATCCAAATACCTTCCACTGTGTTTCTACTCT